TGTGCAAAATATCTTCATGTTCATCAGGTGTGTTTGGTGAGTCAATATCAGTGATTGAGGGGAATTCTGTCACTCTACACACTGATGCCACATCTGATGTTCTTGACGGGAGATTCAGAGATAGACTGAAGCTGGACAATCAAACTGGATCTCTGACCATCACAAACATCACAACTCAACACGCTGGACGCTATGAAGTACAGAGAAGTGGAATTAAGTGGTCATCAAAATCATTCAGTGTTTCGGTCTATGGTGGGTAGAGATGTCATTTGTCCAAACATTCACATACTCTTATTTTACATATTGAAAAAACAAAACACTCACTCAGCACAATGAACTGAAAAGAAGATTGTTGATGAGATCTGTTCACATTTCACTTTATTATCCTGTTTTCAGCTCGTCTGCCTGTTCCTGCCATCAGCAGTAACTCTTCACAATGTCCTTCATCATCATCATCTTCATGTTCACTGCAGTGTTCAGTGGTGAATGTGGGTCATGTGACTCTCTCCTGGTACAAAGGAAACAGTTTATTGTCCAGCATCAGTGTGTCTGATCTCAGCATCAGTCTCTCTCTACCTCTGGAGGTGGAATATCAGGATAACAACACCTACAGCTGTGTGCTCAACAATCCCATCAGCAACCAGACTCAACATCTGGACATCAGTCAACTCTGTCACACATGTTCAGGTACAGCAGCACATTTGATCTACAACAAAAGAGAGATCAGATGACATATTTATTTAATTTATTGGTTATCATTACAGGCTCAGTCTCTCTGATAGTGTTGATTTGTGCTGCTGCTGCTGGATCTCTGTTGATTGTAGCTGCAGTCAGGATCTTCTGCATCTGCAGGAAACACAGAAAAAATGATCATGAAGGTCACTGTTACCTACTGATTTTAACAAGTATTATAACAAATAATATTTATAAATATTGTAATTGTTTGGTAGTCATAATTATCATTTAAATCACAATTATGCTCATTTTTTTTGTATTTTATATACATAAACTAAACTAAATGTAGTTATTTTGTTTTGCAATTTCTGTAGATAATACTCATACATGTCTATATAATGTCCCTGAACACAGCTCTTTACTAAAAACTGATTCTGCATTTCTCAAACTGCATCAAACCAAACTGGAAATACAAACACAGAAATGCAAATCCAGATTATTCCAATAATAAAACAACCTTTGTTATATTTGTATGGTCATAATTCTACCCGTGTAAACATGCAGCACTCTGTTGGTATGCAAGTTAACACTTCTATGAATGAAGCTGTTTCACTTTGTAACACAGTTTGTAGTTCGGGAAGAAGGAGGCGGGAACCGGCGAACAATCAACCAAAACTTTAATAATACAACCAACACAAAATAAAAAGTAAAGCGGCAGCCCCTCGCAGACGACTGCCGCACACAAAACACAAAATAAAATCCAGGCCTGGGGCCTGTTCTTTGTACATTGCTAACTCAGTTAGCTGGATTTGATTGTTGATGATTTGGCATGATCTTGGATTGTTTGGTTCTTGGAAGCTCATCCCGGAGTTGCTGTCATAGCAACAGGTCCGTAAACTTAAACCTGCTCGGGAGCAGGCTTATTTCATGTAAACAGGATTAGATTGCATCTTTTTAAGCAGAATTGATACCTAAAATCTGTCCGCTACCACCGCTACTTTATTACAAGAGTACACATACTAATCCAGGGACAATAATTTAAAAATAATAATCATTTAAAAA